AGCTATTGTTTTGGTTTTGTCCGATCCTGACAAAGGTCGTTGGGTGCTTGACATCGGCATTGATAGAAGTATTTAATAAGTTGGGTGAAGGAGATCGGAAACTTGATCAGTTCTTACAAAAAATTGTATGAGTACTTGGCATTTGGAAATATGGTCATAGACTTAAACGTGTATGTTGCAATAAAATTGTAGACACAAAATATCAATATTTTATATATTTGAAATTTATAAAAAGAATAGAATAAATGAGTTGAAATTATTGATGGATGTAATACTATAACTAAAATAATTTAATCTCCTAAATATCTATATTTTCAACTTGATTTATCATTTTCATACATTACAAATTTTTATAATAAAAAAAAATATGATGCATTTTTCATGAAAAATAAATTAGGACCCAAAGTAATTGCCGCATTTCATTTCCCATGTGAGATAAAAAAAAGATAATAAAAAGAAAAAATTAAAAGAAAAGAATAACTTAAGTTAGTGTAGAATATCACTTTGTCCAATACAATGCGTATCTCATGATTCGGTTCCGATTTTTATTAAAAAAAAAAATTAGGTCTTTTTATTTTTTTTTGGTTTTTTAAGTTTTTAAAATTCGGTTCGGTTCGATTTTAGGATATTCAGTTTTCTAAAAAATTATTGTTTAAAAATTTTAGATGGTTCGGTTTGAAAAAATAACGTACTTCTCGGAATTGTGCTGAAACGTCCACCCCTACATTTAGATATATGAATTAAATAATAAAATGAAATGAGATGTTTATTTGATTAGAAGTTTGAGTAATGAGGTAAGATTGATTATTGATTGGGATTAATTAGAAATTTACTTAGATATTGGTGGTTATAGTCCCAAATTAACTTTTGCATTATATAATAAAAATAATAATAATAAATTAAAATTTAAAACGATACGAATATATTTAATTTAATAAATATACGAATGTGTTAATCTAATATAAAAATATCAAATATTCACTTGAAACAATTTTTTAGACTTTATTTGTATCAAACTTGTCAACTAAATTTTCATAATTAATTTTTTCGAAAAACAATTATTCTCCTATGCAAATGTGAATAATATCTCAAAACTTTTGTGATTTTAAATATCTTTTCTTACATTTTTATAGAATATTCGGTTACAGTTGAAAATTTTAATTTATTTTTTAATTGTTAAATAAAGCTTTTATTATGATTTTAAACTTTTGTTATTATAACCATTTATTTTTTTAAAAATAAATCTTTTAATTTATTTAATAATACTATCAGCTATTGAATTAATGATAACAAATCTGTTTTATTATCATTATTAATAATTAATTTTAATAATTATATATCATAATTAATATTTTTTTAAACATCATAATAATTATTATGATTTTAAAAAGTTTATAAATTTTGAGGTCTTATTATGTGGCACCAATTACATGCATTATTAACATATACGACACCACAATATACGTGCACTCGAGGTTTTGAGATCAACAAACCAGAGAAGCAATATCTTTGTCAGTTTTTTTATAGATCACTAAATATCTAAATGAAGTTCAATTATTAACTGTCACCTCTAAACTTTGCACATTTACTAATCCTCTTTCGTCTCTTGGTCAACGCACTAAACGGTAAAATTCCGACAAAAATGGTTGCTCTGAGATCTCAAAATCTATTAAAGTGAGGAGGTTTTCCGACATGTGATGCGGAAACCTCCTTACGAATTACGGTCGACGGTCTAGTGTTCCGACCCATAGACTCCGGCATTGCGTTCCATCTAGACGGAGTAAAGAGAGGGTTGGAATAGTAGCATAATCATGAGCTTGGGGGGGGGGGCTAGTTACTTGAATAGTTTTTCAGGCAGTCAAGGTCACTACAAAAAAATCAGCAAATTCCAACGAATTTTCCAACGGATTTATCCGTTGGAAATTTTTCAACGGATTTTCAACGGTTTTCAACGGCATTTCAACGGTGATTTCCGTTAAAAATCCGTTGAAAATTTCCAACGGATATCCGTTGGAATCGCCGGTTGGAAATTTTTAACGGAATTTTCAACGTATTCAATTGAAAAAATTGGGTTGAAATTTTCCAACGGTATTTCCAACGGATATCCGTTGGAATTTTTTTTGGAAATTTAAAAAAAAAATTCCAAC